GCCTTTTACCGTGATCTGTGATAACAGAAGGGCACAGTGATCACAGAGCACACCGAGTTGCATCTATAGACGCCCTTCCAGAGCTGGATGGCTGCGCTATAGCTATGGCTTTTTTTGGCTATAGCGTGGTTGGGAAGAGGTTAATGAATGCAAACCATTCTCTGATTAGATGGGTGGAAAGGCAGAATGGTGGCATGACAATTTCCACTTCGAAAATGCGAAGTGTTATCTGAATGGAGCCCATGCCAAGTGAACAACCTCCTGTGATCACAATGCAGCAGGGCAGCTGCTTGGCATGGGACTTGGAAGCTATTGCAGATCACTGTAGTAGTTGTGTCTACTACAGTAATTCCCAGCTTCCATGGGGGATCCCACAGGTATGGAACACACATACTTACATTGGTCCAAGTAGGACCAGTGATAAAGAGGAACTAAAGGGACCTATACTTACCTTTCTCTCAGTGGTTTCTGTCTCTTGTCAGCAATTTCTCCTTTTATATCGGTCTTTGTCACACAGGAACAATGGAGGCACTTTAAGCTGAGCTGCACTTCTCGCCAAAGAAGACAGCATGCAGCCAGGTAGGTTGGAGCATTTTATTGCAGAGGAGACATTGCGTGTCTCTTTTAGAAAAAAATCTGCTTGCTCACTGTTTGTTACAGCACAACTTCAGTTCCTCTTTAAAGAGTTACTAAACTCACAACCAGTAAAATCAGTCTGTAAATGCAGTAAAGCATGCTTGTTATACTCACTGTGGGGTTAATGCTCTGCATTGTGTAAAAAGGTTGTTTGATTCTGTCTTCTCTGATCCTCCCATTCTTCTACTGTCCCCAATCCATCTGCTGATAGTACAGAGCCTTAGGAGGCACTGTGCACATGCTCAGTTTAGTGTGTTTTGCTAGAGAGGTGTGTTTGTTTTTTTTTTCTTTGGGGAGGGTGTGTGTGATCATCACAGGGACAATAATCACTGTCCAGACAGAGGGTGAGGGGTTATATAAAGCCTCATAGGACAGTCAGAGGAGAATGAAAACTCCTCCTACACAATTAACCAATGCTCAGCTGGACACTGATAGAAGTCACAAGACTGCTATATACTGCTGATGAGATAAAGTATTTAGCAGTTTATATTTTTGAAAATAATTTTATTTTCATGTTCTGTGTACTGTGGGAGACCAGATATAGTGAATGCAGGGTCCTGGGTTTAGTAACACTTTAACTATATAAAAATATCTATACCGGGAATTAAGTGATTCAGTGACCAGATCAGTGATTTGGGTTTTTAATTTTGCATTGTTTTCTTTTTCTGTTCATGCATTTTTTGCCAGCCCCTCCTAGGATTACCCCGTCACATATCTCACATAGTTGTTTGCTGTGTCTGCAGCTATTTATATATTTTATTTAAAGGGTTAATTCACCTTTACCAAAAAACTGCCTATGCAGGTAAGGGGCGTCTGTTGATAGAAACAAACTGTGCAGCTCTTACCAAAGTTGAATAATGAATTGCTATAGGTGTAGGCCATTTACATACACCACATTGCCAAAAGTATTGGGCCAACCCTCCAAATCACTGGTTTCAGGTGTTCCAATCACCTCCATGACCACAGGTGTATAAAATCAAGCCCCTAGGCATGCAGACTGCTTCTACAAACATTTGTGAAAGAATTGGTCGCTCTCAGGAGCTCAGTGAATTCAAGCATGGTACTGTGATAGGTTGTCACCTGTGCAATAAGTCCATCCGTGACATTTCCCTGTTACTAAATATTCCACGGTCAACTGTTACTGGTATTATAACAAAGTGGAAGCTACTGGGAACAACAATTGCTATAGGTGTAGGCCATTTACATACACCACATTGCCAAAAGCATTGGACCAACCCTCCAAATCACTGGATTCAGGTGTTCCAATCACCTCCATGGACACAGGTGTATAAAATCAAGCACCTAGGCATGCAGGCTGCTTCTACAAACATTTGTGAAAGAATTGGTCGCTCTCAGGAGCTCAGTGAATTCAAGCGTGGTCCCGTGATAGGTTGCCATCTGTGAAATAAGTCCATCCGTGACATTTCCTTGCTACTAAATATTCCACAGTCAACTGTTAGTGGTATTATAACAAAGTGGAAGCAACTGGGAACAACAGCAACTCAGACGTGAAGTGGTAGGACACGTAAAATGACAGAGTGGGGTCAGCGCATGCTGATGCACACAGTGGGCAGAAGTTGGCTACTGTCTGCAGAGTCAATAGCCTAAAGACCTCCAAACTTCGTGTGGCCTTCAGATTAGCACAACAGTGTGTACAGAGCTTCATGGAATGGGTTTCCATGCCTGAGCAGCTGCATCCAAGCCTTAGATGAATCAGAGTAACTTGCGAGCCACAGGTGTGATAATTACTAGAGGATCGCAAACATGAAACACATAACTACAACTGTGTTGGAAATATCTACAAATATATGTTGCGCTCCTAAATACTTCTCAATAAATAATAATTAAATTATTACCATTAAACTAATTCAAATTATGATACAAATAACTAATAAAAGTGTATGAATACCAAAAAATATTTAAATAGATAGTTTCAACTAATCAATCTCCTCCAAATAAATATCAAAATAATTCCACATGAAATACTCCTCTAAAAAAATGTTTTACCAAGTGCTCATAAATCATCTATTAGTGACATGATGTACTTACTAATACCCTCAATTTCATTTATATTCATAATACCTTCATTTAATATAATAAAAAAATAGTAAACCAACTAATAACCCTCAACTAAAACGCATTTAGATGATCCCCCATAAATAAAAATAACCAAATGCTCATAAATAATTAATAGTGATTAGTATGAATCCAAATATCATCAAAATAATAGTCCCATTGAATAAACAATTGTTTATATATAGTGACTTGGTGCTTGTTGTTCTTCAAATTGCATCCAAGCCTTACATCACCAAGTGCAATGCAAAACATCGGATGCAGTGGTGTAAAGCGCACTGCCATTGGACACTAGAGAAGTGGAGACTCGTTCCCTGGAGCGACGAATCATGCTTCTCCGTCTGGCAATCTGATGGCCGTGTCTGGGTTTGGCGGTTGCCAGGAGAATGGTGCTTGTCTGACTGCATTGTGCCAAGTTTGGTGGTGGAGGGGGGGGATTATGGTGCGGGGTTGTTTTTCAGGGGTTGGGCTTGGCCCCTTAGTTCCAGTGTAGGGAAGCTTATCCTTTTTGATGATGTGCGGTTAGCACGAAACGCGTCAGGTAGGAGCTACAGCGTCACTATTGTTTTGCCGCCGGCACCACGGAGGTCCCGGCGGCCATCTTTCCATTCACCTCATGGTCAGTGATTGTTTGTTTTCCTCACCTATACCATACTGCATATGAAATAAACATCTTTTAAAACGGTATTATGCTATTGGTCTTCTTTCTTTGTGGCCCTTGGTGAGTCACTCATCACCTATAGAGCCACCTAAGAGAGAGACCGTGGATTTCTAGCAACATCCAGCGGGTGGAGGAATATCTGGCCTGACCTGACCTCTTGAAGCTACTTGTGGATCTAGTGGAGATAATATATCTCTAAATGCGCAGTTACACTGTGCATCTGGTGAGTGCACAGCCTTATCCTTTTCACGTTTACTGCATGGAAGCAGCACTTTGAAGAATAATTACTGTCACAAGGACTGGTTTTGCACCGCATGTCACTTTGCTTGTGATATAATTTGTATGATCACATTAATCACTTAACCGCCATATTGATATTTTGGACATTTTTACTATAGCGCCGCATCTTTTATGTTATATGCTCTGTAAGGTTCTTTGGTATCCTGTTTGATGCTGTGGCTGCTTTCTTTGTTCTCATAGCGCTCACAACTTCTTTTATACTTCATCAGAACCCTGATGAAGTCACGAGTCACGTGATGCAACACGTCGGTACATCATTTCCGGTACGTGGTGATGCACTTCCGGCAGCGTCCATCTTGCTACACCCAGTATACCATGCAGTACACCCATAGCTTGTGGTGAAAGGCGATTGTTACTGGGGATACATGTGAGTGCTTTACCAACTTTTATCTGCAATTTAAATAAAAAGATACTACACCATGGAAGGTTTCTTGCTTTATACCCTATATATGTTACCTTGAGTGGAGGAGGAGTGGATAAGGTGCGCTGAGCAGAGGTCTTTTTCCTATCCCATGGTTCCTGTGATGTGGAGTGGAGTGGAGAGGATCTGTTACTGTTTATTATAGCCCTGTGGCCCCGTGTGGGTCAATGTGTGGAGGTGAGCAGGCATTGCCGACATTTGAGGATTTCTGTTCATTTTTCACTGGAGTGAAGATCACATCAGCACAGATTCACTTGCATTGACTTTATGTTCTCAATGAACACATATATAATTTGATTGGTTTGACGTTTGTATATACACAGTGTGTTTTTAGAGATATTGATAAATAGCACGGGAATTTTTTCTTCTTAAAGAATCACTTCACAATTATCTGTAGTTTGTCACATATTCAAGGTCATGTTTCACTTCTACTTGTGGAAAGAGATATTTATTTGTTTGCAATTATTTGTCACTGAGCACTATTGTGTGTGCACGGCTAGTAATATAGAATATTTATCTGTATTTAATAGGATTTATAGCGCTTCATTATTTACAGTTACTTTGGAACAAATCCAATCCATCTTTCTTCAATCTTGCTTCATTGGCCTGAAAATGTACTATTGAGAACCCCTAAAACCTTCAAACACATCAGCTTTATTATCGTAATTACTTTCTCTATGCACTAAAGAGCATTGCAGTGTCCGACGTCTGCGTAATGGATTGGCAGGTGAAATGCAACAAACGCATGCGCACATATCCCTCCTTAGTCCGCTTGACTTTCTACGGGGTGACGTGTCGGTGTATCTCATTGGTTGATATCCCGGAAGTGCCCAGTGCGTGTCACCGGGTGATGTGTCTGCGTTCCACGGACTGACTGCAGGAAGTGAGAGTTGTCTGCATTGAAGGGAGATGGCAGAGGTAGACGTGAATGGGGGCAATGCTGCCCTTACGACCTCCACGTCCCAGAGCTCCAACCCCCTGTCCAGGAAACTCAACAAGATCTTGGAGACCCGGCTGGATAATGACAAGGTGAGGGCCCAGACCAGGCCATGGAGGAGGGGGGGGAAGGGTACTGTCTGAACACTTCCAGACTCAGGGCTTCTGGGCTTGCTGCAACTTTTAGTTCTACAGCACACATGGCAGTTCAGAGACTTGGCTTTTAAATGGTGCTGCATCTATTAACCACTTGCCTACTGTGCACATATAGCCTCTTCCTGCCCAGCTCAATTATCAGATTTCAGCGCTGTCACAATTTGAATGACAATTGTGCGGTCATGCAACACTGTACTCATAGGAAATGTGTATCATTTTTTTCACACAAATAGAGCTTTCTTTTGGTGGTATTTACTTGCCACTGGGTGTTTTATTTTTTGCGCTATAAACAAAAAGACCCAAAATATTAAATAAAAAGTTATCTTTGTTTCTATTATGAAATTTTGCAAAAAGGTAATTTTTTATCTTTCACCGATGTGCGTTGATGAGGCTGCACTGATAGGCAGCACTGATGAGGTGGCATGGATAGGCAACACTGATGAGCTGGCACTGATGATGCTCCACTGATATGCAACAATGATGGGCACTGATGGGTGGCACTGCTGGGCGGCCCTACTATTTTATTTATTTCAGGTACTTATATAGCGCTGTCAATTTACACATATATATTGTACATTCACATCAGTCCCTAACCCTCAAGGGGTGTACAATCTAAGGTCCCTAACTTACATTCATACATAGACATATTAGAGCCAATTTAGACAGGATCCAATTAACCTACCAGCATGTCTTTGGAGTGTGGGAGGAAACCAGAGTACCCGGAGGAAACCCACACAGGCACAGGGAGAACATGCAAACTCCAGGCAGGTGGTGCCGTGGCTGGGATATGAACCAACAACGCTAGTACTGCTAGGCAGAAGTACTAACCATTTAGCCACTGTGCTGCCCAGGCACTGGCACAGGTACTAGGCACTGATGGGCACAGGTGGGCGGCACTGCTGGGCACTGATCATCCGTCCTCTGACAATTGCTTGTTATCGGCAGTACTTTCCTTACGCTGTCACAGCGTAAGGAAAGTGCAGCCGATAACCGGCAACTGCATTTACCGGTGATCTGATCTGTCATTGGACACAGCTGATCACATGGTAAAAGGCCGCTGTGATTGGCATTTTATCACATCACGTGATTAGCTGTGTCCGTAGGACATTGCGATCACAGAGATCGGCGGGGGCGCGTTCTGGGAGGACATCATGACGCCCTCCCAGAACTGGACAACCGTGCTGTAGCAGTCATTTGGCTATAGCGCAATTAGCAAATGGTTAACCACTAGCCTACCGGGCACTTTCACCCCCTTCCTGCCCAGGCCAATTTTCACCTTTCAGCACTGTTGCACTTTGAGTGACAATTGCGCAGTCATGCAACACTGTACCCATACAAAATTTTTATACTTTTTTTGAGACAGAGCTTTCTTTTGGCGGTATTTAATCACCACTGGGGTTTTCATTTTTTACTAAACAAACTAAAGGCTGAACATTTTGGGGAAAAAAAAAAGTTTTTTCTTAGTTTCGGTTACAAAATTTTGGAAATATGTAATTTTTCTTCACTGTGCGTTAATGAGGCTGCAGTGATGGGCACTGATATGTGGCACTGGGCATTGACAGGCATCACTGGTAGGCACTTAAAGGCAGCACTCATATATGGCACTGATTGGCACTGAAAGGCAGCTCTGATGGACACTGACAAGTGGCTGTGATGGGCACTGGTAGGTGGCATTGATGGGGCTACAATGATCATCAAGACAGTGATGATCAGTGCCCTGATGATCAGTGTAAATGTCCCCTCTGAGGAATGCCAATTACCGGCTCTCCTCTCCTCACGCGCTGTCAGCGTGAGGAGAGGACTGCTGATAACCGGCATCTCTTATTTACATGCGATCAGCTGTGATTAGACACAGCTGATCACATGATAGAACCGACGTCATCGGCTCTTTACTGCAATCAGTGATCTGGTGTGTCCCAGGGACACAGTGCACCATCGATCACCGCGCTGTGTGCCCTCAGGGGTGCGCATGCGCAGCTTGAGTTTGAGGACATCATATGATGTCCTCCCAGAACGAGAGAACCGCCGCCCATCCGTCATTTCCTTATATAGCGGGTGGGAGGCGGTTAAAGTCTTATTAACTGATTCAAAACCTAAGCAATTCTGACTCTTCCCACATACACTGGATAAATGATTAGCACTTCCGCCTGGCAGTACTAGGGTCGTTGGTTCGATTCCCAACCACGAAACTACCTGCTTGGAGTTTGCATGTTTTCCCTCTGCCTGCGTGGGTTTCCTCCGGGTACTCCGGTTTCCTTCAACACTCCAAAGACATGCTGTTAGGTGAATTGGCTCGTATCCAATTTAGCCCTGGTATGTGTACAGCTAAGGAAATAAGTATTTGATCCCCTGCTGATTTTGAATATTTTCCCACTCACAAAGAAATGATCAGTCTAAAAATTGAATGGTGTATTGTAACACAGAGAAAGAATAGCAACAAAAAAGTCAAAAGAAATGCATGTCTAACAAATGATGACTGATTTGCATGTTCATGAGGGAAATAAGTATTTGATCCCCTATCATTCAGCAGGATTTCTGGCTACCAGGTGTCTTTCATACAGGTAACAAGCTGAGATTAGAAGCAGTCTCTTAAAGGGGGTGCTGCTAATCTTATTTTGTTACCTGTATAAAAGACACATGTCCACAGGAGCAATCAAACAATCAGATTCCAAAAACTCTCCACCATGGCAAAGACCAACGAGCTGTCCAAGGATGTCAGGGACAAGATTGTAGACCTACACAAGGCTGGACTGGGCTACCAAACTATCGCCAAGCAGCTTGGTGAGAAGGTGACAACAGTTGGTGCAATCATTCACAAATGGAAGAAACACAAAACAACTGTCAGTCTCCCTAGGTCTTGTGCACCATGCAAGATCTCACCTCGTGGAGTGTCAATGATCATGAGAACAGTGAGGAATCATTTCAGAACTACACGTGAGGATCTTGTCAATGATCTCCAGGCAGCTGGGACCACAGTCACCAAGAAAATAATTGGTAACAGACTACGCCGACAAGGATTGAAATCCTGCAGTGCCCGTAAGGTCCCTCTGCTCAAGAAAGCACATGTGCAGGTCCGTCTGAAGTTTGCCACTGAACATCTGAATGATGCAGAGGAGGACTGGTTGAAAGTGTTGTGGTCAGATGAGACCAAAATCGAGCTCTTTGGCATCAACTCAACTCACCTTATTTGGAGGAGGAGGAATGCTGCCTATGACCCCAAGAACACCATCCCAACTGTCAATCATGGTGGTGGAAAAATTCTGCTTTGGGGGTGTTTTTCTGCTAAGGGGACAGGACAACTTCACCGCATCAAAGGGACGATGGACAGGGCAATGTATCATCAAATCTTGGGTGAGAACCTTCTTCCCTCAGCCAGGGCATTGAAAATGGGTCGTGGATGGGTGTTCCAGCATGACAATGACCCAAAACACACGGCCAAGGCAACAAAGGAGTGGCTCAAGAAGAAGCACATTAAGGTCCTGGAGTGGCCTAGCCAGTCTCCAGACCTTAATCTGATTGCAAATCTGTGGAGGGAGGTGAAAGTTTGAGTTGCCAAACGTCCGCCACCAAATGATGACTTGGAGAGGATCTGCCAAGAGGAGTGGGCCAAAATCCCTCTTGAAATGTGTGTAAACCTGGTGGCCAACTACAGGAAACATCTGACCTCTGTGATTGCCAACAAGGGATTTGCCACCGAAAGGGGATCAAATACTTATTTCCCTCATTAACATGCAAATCAGTGCATAATTTGTTAGACATGCATTTCTTTTGCATTTTGCTATTGTCTCTCAGTGTTACAATACACCTACCATTTGATTTTTAGACTGATCATTTCTTTGTGAGTGGGCAAACATTCAAAATCAGCAGGGGACCAAATAGTTATTTCCTTCAGTGTGTGTGTGTGTGTGTGTGTGTGTGTGTGTGTGTGTGTGTGTGTGTGTGTGTGTGTGTGTGTGTGTGTGTGTGTGTGTGTGTGTGTGTGTGTGTGTGTGTGTGTGTGTGTGTGTGTGTGTGTGTGTGTGTGTGTGTGTGTGTGTTGTGGGGTTAGGGTGGGGGATCTCCTTCCCTGGGACAAAGGTAGACCGCACAGCAGGCTTTCGTCAAAATCTGACTGGTTGTCAGTTTTATTAAAAGGTTTGCAAGAAATAAAAACAAAACATCAAAAATAAACCCTTGCCATTCCATCAGGCACTAACTAAACAGAAGATGATTCCTCTCTCAGAGGTGAAGGGCTTCTCCCTGTCACCAAAACAAAATAACAGCAAACCTTTTCTTGTAGGTATAGTCCATACACAGCTCTCTCAGAATACCTCTCTGAGTCCCAGGCCACGAGCAACTCCTTGCTCCAGCTCTGCCCTTTTTGTATCACCTGCTGGTGGTCATCAGTGGAGCCCAAACTCTGGTCCGGAACCACCTCTGCCATTGTGGCCCCGAAAACCCGGAGTGGACTCCACCTTACACCTCACAGTATGATCTCATGCGAGGTGACACATACCGTCCATCCATCAGTTTGCCGTTCATACTGTCACAATATATATATATATATGATTGTTGTAGGAACGTCCACCACTACCTGCATCCTTGTGTACCTAATTTTAAAGCCCAACTGAACTGAGAGCCTGTTCAAACTAGAATGCGGTGCTGGAAACCCGCGTTCAGTGCGCATTCAAACTGCATTGCAGGTGCGATCTGCAGCGGGTTTCAATAATAAGTTAACAACACCCCAAATGCAGACTGCAAATGCAGTGTGTTTCCGAAAGTAGCGCATGCACTACATTTGGTGCGGTAAGATTTGAGCCCATTAAAAATGAATTGGCTGAAACCACACCTCAAAGAAGTGCATTCTTGTGCGATTCCCAGTGTGGTCCTTTAAGTTAAAATCTGTGAAATACATTCCAGCCACATCATAACAGGTAGACAAGGTCGTAAAAAATCAGACATAACCTGAGCAGAAGCCTGTCTCCTTCCAGTGTGCTGTAGAAAAGAACCCCAGCACTCTGTGTGGAAGCAATGGTCTGTCTCTAAAGAAAAATGTTAATCAAATGTAATTTTTTCTATAATAATTGTCATCTTCTTTTAATAGGAAATGTTGGAAGCTCTTAAATCCCTCTCTATATTTTTCACTGAGAACAGTTTGAGGAGTCGGAGAAACCTGAGAGGAGATATTGAACGACGGAGCTTATCCATAAATGAAGAATTTGTAGCTATATTTAAAAAGGTTAAAGAGGTACGGTGTATCTTTTTTTTTTTTTTTCTTTTAATAAATACATTGCTATTATAGTGCAACAGTATGAAATAACTTTTGCAATGCACAATCTGTCTTGTCAATCATGTCTGGATCAGTATGTGTTTTGGTGCATCACTGTAATGCTGGCCCAAGATGGATCGAATGCTGAACCGGCCAAGGTTCGATCCGTCTATCGGTAGGCTGGTTGTACTGAAGTCAATCCATTGATCAGCTTTAGTACAACCTGTCTGTCGGATTTTTTGCATGCAGCTATAGCTGCCAGCAGTAGTTATTGTGTTCTACCGGCATGGCAGGCTCCCCAACGGCAGAGTACAATAACGCTTTGTTCCTGTGGTTGCAGGAAAGAAAATTGCATCATCTGTGGCTTGATCAAAGGGCAACGCTACTTTTGTTGAGGAAAAAATTTTCCCCTCTAGGGAATCAATGTACATTGCAAGGGATTTACCAAACTTTGCTGCAGATTCCTACCTTTTGTAATTCTGAAGAAAAGGCTGTTTGTCTGTGTCCATATGCAGAGTGAATCTGTATGGGAGTTACATTATAATTATCTATCAGTTGCTGCATTTGCAGGGCTCTAATGGGGAAAAACTGCAGGGTCTGCATCTAGGGTTGCACCGATACTGGTACTTGCACAAGTTCTCATGCAAATGCTCCTGTTATCCAAAACTAATACATTTGCTGTGCGATTTGAGCCCATACAAGTTGAATGGGCTTACATTGCACTGCAAAGCATTCCTGTTCAAATTGCACGCAATTCTTTGCGGTGCGGTTTGAGACTATATATTTTGTATGGGTTCAAATGGCACCACAAAGATATCGATATTTGGTATCGGCAAGTACTTGACCAAAAGTATCAGTACTCGCAATTGCCGGTAAAAGTAAACATGGATATCGATGCATCTGCATCCCTTTAGACGTGATTTCCTTTGGGTATCTCGCCAAAAATTACATTTTTGTTGTAGGGGATGCTCAAAATCTGACTTGTATCTTAGTGCGGACTTCTGTGAAAATCAGTAAGCCAATCACACAAGCAGGAAATGGCCTATCTGGGGTGGAGGCGGGGGTTGTTCTGTACACCATCTGTGTACAAAACGTCTCCAAGTAGCCATATTGCATTGCGTGTTGCAGATTGAAAAGGAAATATAATTTTTATTAACATACAATTACAATATTTCTTGTGCTACAATTCGTGTACGCTGTATTATTATTTATTTTTTTTCTTTCTGTATTTGCTATTTTATTTCCCACGAAAGTGGAGTTACCCTTTAAGTATTCGTTGAAGCCTCTCCTTCCACACGTTCAGATAAGTGATGCAGAAGATCGTTTAATTTTGGCATTTAGTTTAGTGGCTAGGATAGGTCAGTTTTGTGCTGGCTGTACAATAGTAGAACTACATTTTGAAAATTTTGGTTTTAAAACGGTTGTTTGATTTTTTTGTTGGGTTAACAAGAAAATTCGGAAGAGCAGGATGGAAAGGGTTTCTTGATTGAACAAATTTCTAAGAGTGTATGTGGTGTTCGTCTGGGAAAGTACATTCATTCCAAAATCGAATGCTAAAGGATAAGTTCACCTTTGTTCACTTTTTTGTTTTTTTTTAAATTCCAGCTCCTCTGTGTACAAATAGAGCATTAATGCACTTCTTTTGTAGAAATTCAAAAGCTTTCTACTTTTTCTACCCACCTTTTATGTCCGTGTCCAGGTGGCTGTATAAAAGGCTTTTCCATTACTTCCGCCTTTGAACATCTGCAAAAGAAGTACATTAATGCCATATTGGTACACAGAGGAGCTGGAATTTAGAAAAAAAAAAGGTGAACAAAGGTGAACTTATCCTTTTAAAAGCAAAAAAAAATCTGAACCAGTGTTGTCAGCCCTGAATGAGTTCTCTGGACTGCAAAACTCTACCTATGCCCGTCCCTCTCTGTCCATTTCTATATTAATACATTGATTTCTCAGAAAAACAGTACTGGGAGTGTGCCTACACCAATAGGAACTGGGCTCCCAGCCGATACCTCTGCATGAATTTTACTAACCTGGTGATGTCACAGGAAGTAATAAAAAGTGGTTTCCTACTACAGGGACAAGGCAGGCTCTTTGAGTGGGTGAGGGAGCTTTTGGGTCATATAAAACACAAAAAACCTTCACTTGGATGTAACTACAATCTGAATTCAAAAATGCTAATTATTAGGGAAAAGCAGCTTGCACAGAAAAGGCAACTATAAAAGTAAATAAAAAAAAAATGCAGCGCTAATAAATTATCAACATAAAAGTCCAAATAATTCTCAAGTGAATGAGACAGGTTGCAGAAGAAGATTCTGGCATCATATAGCGTCACCAAAACACCCGAATAGATAAGCCCCTTACCGGACGTTCAGACCGTATACCGGTCAATATACGTAGTAAATAAGAAATCACTGAAGCAGGTAATTTTCACTCGGAATCCTCCTTTAAGATGATGAATACTCCTCCTCTTTAAAGATCTTCAAAAGCAGGAAAAACTCCTATCCGATAATAAAATAAGGGATATAAAATAAAAGCAACTCAGTGTAGTAATTCAGTAAAATTGTGACCAATTTAATAAAAAATCCACGTACATCAAGCAGTAAAACAACCAAAATTGTGAATGTGAAAAAAAGCTGAAAATATGGCCACCGTCCCTCCAGAACGTGATGACGTTACACGCCAATGCTCCAGCCAATGCGTTTCGTCATCAGGAAGACATTCCTGACGATGTCTTCCTGATGACGAAACGCGTTGGGCCTTATCTACTCGGGTGTTTTGGTGACGGTATATGACGCCAGAATCTTCTTCTGCAACCTGTCTCATTCACTTGAGAATTATTTGGACTTCTTTGTTTTTGACTTTTATGTTGATACTTTATTAGTGCAGCATATTTTGTTATTTAGTTTTTGGGTCATGCCTATACAAAACGTTTTAATAATGATATAACTCTATAATCTAGTAGTCTGTTGAGTATGCTGCCTTTTGATATGGGCACTGAAATTAGATGTGGCAGATTATCATTGATAAAAATGTCTATTTTCAGGAACTGGAAAGTATAAATGAGGATGTACAAGCAATGAGCAACTGCTGCCAGGACATGACCAGTCGGTTGAAGGTAATTGTGCCATCTTATTCCATCATCCATAATGGCATATTGATTAGATACTTGAATTTTTTCTGTTGTACAAATTTTTGTAAAAGTAGTCTTGATGTTGACCTGGATGCTGAATGCACATATGAAATGTTAATATAGGTGCTGTTGCTGCAGAAGAATTTGTATTGTTCTTTGCTTATTCCTGAGATTTACAGAGCGAAGTCAGAAGACACAGCCAGATTTGTGATTTGACTTTTTACTGTTGCAGTTAACCACTGGCTGGCCACCTATACAGCATTTTTACTGCAGGTGGATGGCATGTATAGGCAAAGCAACATATCCATATGTCATTTTACCCCCCTCGCAGTGTGGGTCCTGGTAGTCAGGACCCAGTAGCAACAAAGCTGTTATGAATTAATTTCTTTCACAACAGCTTTGTTTCTGGTACAAGTGAGCTGTGATTGCTCCACAACTGTCACATGGTACCTTGGCCAATCTCAGCACCCTGTACCATGTTATTAGCTGTAGCCAATCACCGATCACTAGTATTTAACCCATTCATGGCAGTTCATGGCAGTTCAAAGCACTGCTGGTGCAGTTATCTTCATTGTACCAGCAATCAAAGTGTAGAAAAAAAATAAGTCCTCGACTCCTACCCTCTTGTTGAGCTTGGATGCCCAAAAGGCGTTTGGCCTTATATGTTTCTGGTCCTGGAGAGATTTGGGTTTAGAGCTCCGTTTATATCAGCTCTGAAAGTTTTTTACTCCGCCCCCACCTCCCAGGTCAAATTGGCATAGTTTTTTATCATCTTCCTTACGGATGTCAAATGGTACTCGCCAGGGATGTCCACTTTCTCCTTTGTTGTTTATCTTCTGTTTAGAACCCCTGGCCATAGCCATTAGCTCCAACCAGGGGCGGACTGACAACTCATGGGGCCCCCAGGCAATAGGGGATCATGGGGCCCCTGTGTCCTTGCCCAAACTCAAAAACGCCTATGAAAAAGGTACCAGGGACAGATGTTTATGCACGGACTGTGTCCCGTATCCGTATATGACTTGTTATGCCTTTCTTATTTCAAAATAAAAACTTTTTTGGGAAAAAAAAAGAAAAAGGTACCAGGGGCATCTCATGGGGCCCCCTACTGATGCCCCGGGCAATAGGGGATCATGGGGCCCCTGTGTCCTTGTCCAGACTCAAAAAAGCCTATGAAAAAGGTACCAGGGGCGTCTCATGGGGACCCCTACTGACCCTGGGCCCTCGGGCAGTGCCCGAGTTTCCAAATGGTCAGTCCGCCCCTGGCTCCAACCCGGATATCTAAAGGGATACGTACCCATAACAGTGACTATAAACTCTCCCTGTTCACTGATGATATCTTGTTGACGCGGACGGAACCACACACTTCCTTACCTGTTTTACATTGTACCTTACAGCTCTGCGGAGCCCTATCGGAATATAACGTTAACATAGGGGTTAAAATTTCAAGTCCAGACCTACTAGCCGGTCACAAAACTTACTCTCCACCAGTTTCCCCACTCAACCTTGACCAGGTCCGCCCCCAACCACGCCCCCTTATGAAATTACATTTTTCTTTAGAATAAAGAGTCCATAATATAAAACTGTATACAGTAATGTATATCCCAGCTCCCCTGTACTCCATTATAGTGATATGACATGTATACAGTAATGTAAATTCCAGCTCCCCTATACTCCATTAAATTGATGACATGTATACAGTAATGTATATCCCAGCTCCCCTGTACTCCATTATAGTGATATGACATGTATACAGTAATGTATATCCCAGCTCCCCTGTACTCCATTATAGTGATATGACATGTATACAGTAATGTATATCCCAGCTCCCCTGTACTCCATTATAGTGATATGACATGTATACAGTAATGTATATCCCAGCTCCCCTGTACTCCATTATAGTGATATGACATGTATACAGTAATGTAAATCCCACCTCCCCTGTACTCCATTATAGTGATATGACATGTATACAGTAATGTATATCCCAGCTCCCCTGTACTCCATTATAGTGATATGACATGTATACAGTAATGTATATCCCAGCTCCCCTGTACTCCATTATAGTGATATGACATGTATACAGTAATGTAAATCCCACCTCCCCTGTACTCCATTATAGTGATATGACATGTATACAGTATGTATATCCCAGCTCCCCTGTACTCCATTAAATTGATGACATGTATACAGTAATGTATATCCCAGCTCCCCTGTACTCCATTATAGTGATGACATGTATACAGTGATATATATCCCAGCTCCCCTGTACTCCATTATAGTGATGACATGTATACAGTAATGTATATCCCAGCTCCCCTGTACTCCATTATAGTGGTATGACATGTATACAGTAATGTATATCCCAGCTCCCCTGTACTCCATTATAGTGATATGACATGTATACAGTAATGTATATCCCCGCTCCCCTGTACTCCATTATAGTGATATGACGTGTATACAGTAATGTATATCCCAGCTCCCCTGTACTCCATTATAGTGATATGACATGTATACAGTAATCATTACTGTATACATGTCATCACTATAATGGAGTACAGTGGAGCTGGGATATACATTACTGAGTAATGTATATTCCAGCTCCCCTGTACTCCATTATAGCGATATGACATGTTGTATACAGTATTTACTGTCCCCCCGAGTCCCCCGTGGCGGTGGGGAGGGTGTCTCCTCTCAGTGGAGGAGAGCGGACCTCTCCTGCACCTGTCCCCTCAGTGGCGGTGCTGCAGAAGCCGGAAACCAAAAGTTGTAAACCGGAATTTGGCTTCACAATGAGGCTTGGAGCACAGGTGTAGTCGCTCCATGCTTTATCTGCGCTCGACACAGAGGAATTGCTCCTCGCATTTGGCGTGCGGCTTTTTCAAGCCCTGGGTTAACGCATCTAAAACTGAAGCACTACCACTCCATATACCATCTACGATTTTATCTTCTCTCTAGGTAAATTATCCATACTGGTGGTGTTCACATTCCTTGAAATATTTAGGTACCAACCTTACTTCTTTATATCACTCTCTTTTATGCTGCTAACTTCTCCCCTTTGTTTCATGCATTCTCTCAGTCCTTAAATTCCTGGGAAAACCTTCCCATCTCCTTTCTTGGACAGATCAGTGTATTAAAAATGACCATATTGCCCAGGCTTTTGTATCTGTTTGAGACGCTTCCTGTTCCTAATCCCATTCCCATGTCCAAATTACACTTCCTTCAGAAACCCTTCCTCCACTCCATTTGGCATAATAATTCTCATCGGATTGCCCATACTGTCCTACTCTCTCCTCGATCTCGGGGGGGGGGGGGGGGGGGGGGGGGGGGTTCTGGTCTCTTGTTTTATAGTCCTCCCAGTGCTCCCCTAATAAATGGGCTGAGATTGAATGGCTACAACTACAACCCCAGTGGTGATCAAATACCACCAAATGAAAGCTCTATTTGTGTGAAAAAAATAATATAAATTTAATTTGTATTCAGTGTTGCATGACCATAAAATAACGAAGTGCCAAATAGCAAAAAATGGCCTGGTCATGAAGGGGGTGAAATCTTCCAGGGCTGAAGTGGTTAAAGTGGTTCTAAAGTCTAAACATTGCATTCCCTGCATTAAGGTAAAATATATTTAGGCATTAGTATCACCCCCTTCTCCCTCCCCCCCCTTTCATTCTTATTTGAACCCTCATGCAATCGGCACTGTGCTTGTCTGTAGCTGCTCTACCCGCTCTCACAGGCTTTGCAGTGGCTACCGTTGCTGTTAGTCAATTCCTGTGATGAGGGGCAAGGCTGAGCCTCACTGTCTGTCTATAGATGCAGGAAGCATAGCTCAGGATCAAGCGCGCAGGTGTGCCACAATAGGAAGCGACTTCCTATGGTGGTACACTGAGAAGAGGAGGAGCCAGGAGTAGAGGAGGATCAGAGCCTCTTTGTGCAATTTATATTGCACAGAGCAGGTAAGTACAACATGTTGTTTTTTTTTTTTTAATTTTTTTAAATAATCTAGCCTTTACAACTTCTTTAACCTACCAGCATGTCTTTGGAGTGTGGGAGGAAACCAGAGCAGGTAAGTGTAACATGTTTTGTTATTAATAAAACATAATTTTATATATAATATGTATGTGTACTGTGTATATACATGTCAGTATACACCTTGGTTCAGTTATACTCACCTTTACAGTGCTTCATCTTAAATTACCTGGTGTTGAAGCTAGAAGATGCTGTGACATCACCATATACATCAATTGACGGTTTTTGGGCTTGGTGATTGGCTGCTAGGTCTAAGCACTGCATTGTGGGAGGAGTTCACATGTTCCCCCATACCCTGAAATACCACCATGTATTTTGTGGAGGCTGTGACAGAAGTAGAAGCATTGGAAAAGCTTTGTGAAGGTGAGTATACCCGGCCTACAAACTTAACCCTTTGGAAGCTTTCATTTTTTAATGTCAAAAAACAGATCTCTGCAAAGTGATTTAGGCTTCCTGCACACGGGTTGCTGCATTTGTACTGTAGGTGTGTAACATTTTTTTTCATGGATCTGAACACAGGTTCTTTGTCTATGGGGAAATGCACACATCTGCAATACAACATTGCAGAAATAGAAAATTTTACATTTGAGGCCAGTAATTTCCAGAGTATAGACAAATGTATACACACAGATTACAACACTGGTGGCTAAGAGATGAAGCAGAATTTTACACATGTATACACATATGCATGTTTATATGCCTGTGTTTGTGTATATGTGATGACTTTATGGAACATTATGTAGTAGTTGCAGCGACAGAAGTGAGACTATAAGTGACACTATGACAACTAATATACATGCATGCATTCAAATGTTCAAAATATATAGCATAAAATACGGAAAAGTCAAAATGGTAGAACTGTATGATTCTAAATTTCAGACCAAGAGAAAATGATCTATAATGAAATGAATCCAGCCTGAGTACCACCTTGCTTACAACCACCAGGTGTGCCAAACGTAACAAAC